ATAGTTGAATAATTCTTTTGAGGATCAGACCATGTTCCTGAATGAAATCTAACTAATTCTTCTTTTGAATTATCTACCTTTTGTTTTAATATACCTCCATATCCTAATTCTGATGCGTCTGTTTCAACTATCATGAATGCTTTAGGATGAGGTAAACATGGACATGGTAATGATTCAATTTTTTCTTTTAAATATTTTATTTTTTGAGTATGTTCCTCTGTCCAAGGTTTTGGATTTTTCTTTAATCTATTAAATAATATAGAACATTCTTGTCTTAATTTAGGAAAGAAATCTGCTATATAATTTAGACATCCTAAAAATCTTTGTAATTGATTTTTATCTTTTATTTCATCTGGAAATTTAGTAGCAAATTCTAAAACTCTATTAATTGGTTTTATTGTTCCTTGATATATATTATGTCCTAAAAATCTTATTTTAGTTTGAAATAATTTCATTTTTGGAGCAGAAACAACTAATCCATTTTTCTTAACTACTTTTAAAAATATACTTAAATGTTTGAAATGTTGTTCTATTGATTCTGAAAATATTAATACATCATCTATGTATACTATACTGAATGAACTATAAGGATTGAAAATATCATTCATTATATTTTGAAATTCTGATGGTGCATTTTTTAATCCAAATGGCATAACTTTCCATTCATAATGTCCAAAAGGTGTTGTAAAGGCTGTTTTATATCTATCTTTTGGATCTATTATTATTTGCCAATATCCGGATTTCATATCAAACTTTGAAAATATCTTAGCATTGAATAATCTATTAAGCAAATCCTTTTTATTAGGAATAGGATATCTAATCCATTGTAAAACTTTATTTAAAGGTTTATAATTTATTACTAATCTTGGAACTCCTCTTTCTTTTTCAGCTTGATTCATTACATAGAATGCCGCACAGCTCCAAGGTGATTTTGAGGGTGTTATTAATCCTTTATCTATTAGTATTTTTATTTCCTTCTTACAAAATTCTAATAACTCGGAATTCATTTGTATTGGTCTAGCTTTTGTTGGAATGTTTTTTTCATTAAAATCTTTTTCATAAGGTAATTCTATCATATGTTGTTTTCTATCCCAAAAAGCATTAGGAATATCTGCACAAATTTCTTTTTGAAATAATTCTTCTAGTTCTAATATTCTTTTTTGTATTTTAATATCATTTAATTGTTCTTCAATTTTTAAATAAGATTTTTCCTCTTTAATATAGCTTATTTGCTGTTGTACTCTAGTAATAGTATTTATTGTTTTATATATTGAAGATGTTTGCAATGTTTGTAATTCCCTTTGTCTTATTGGAGTTAAGAATTTAAAGGTAATAATTTTTTCCATTATATTTACTGAAATTCCTTCATTACTTACTAAAAATGGATATATTTGAATTAAAAAGGGTGTTCCTAATATTACATCATGGTTTATATTATTTACAATTATAAAATTATGTTTGATACAATATTCATTATTACATATTGATCCTTTTGTAAATTTATATTTTACTTTTAAATTTTCTCCATTTGCTGCCATTAGTTTTTCATTTGTTCTTTCACAATATTTAGTGGGGATGATTCCTTCTTTAATACAACTTATATCAGCTCCACTATCTATTAGAGCTACAAATGTTTCTTTGAAATCTTCTACTGTAATAGTTACTAAAGCAAACCATTTTTGAAATATCATTCTTTCTATAGTATTTAAATATTGATCTTCTTTTATTGGTTTTTCTGAGATTATTATTTCTTCTGTTTTTGAATTAGAGGTTGAGGGCTGATTGTTATCTATTAATGTTATTTTTGATTCTATTTCTAAATCTTTTAATTTTAATTCTATTATTTCTTGTTGTAATTGTTTTACTTGTATTTTAAGATTATTAATTTCTGATTGAAGGTCTTTAGTAGTTTCTTTTTTCATTATATTTATATTTGGATATTTATCTATTAATTTCGAAATGCTAAAAGGTTCTATTATCTTTGGCATTTTATCTTCTTGAATAATTAAACTTTTTAGTCTTTCTAAATATTCTTTTTTAGCTATGGGATCTTCAATTTTTCTATAATATCTAATAAGAATTCTTTATCTTCTTTTTTAGTTATTACATTAATATATTTTGGAATACAATTACAATTTTCTTCACTATCTGAACTAGAAATATCATTGTAATAATCATCTTCTGTACTTTGTTCTTTTTCATTTATTAATAAATTTATTAATTTATTTTTAATTTCTTCTTCATTTGAACAAATTTCTGTAATTTTTTCTTTTAATCTACATTTGTTTGCTTTATGTCCTATCTTTCCACATTTATTACATTTCAATACCTGGGTAAGAAGTGGTATCAGAGCCACACCCCTGTTTAAAGTGCATACGCATATTTAAACTTTGCATTTACATTTACTTTATTTGAATTATATTTCTATTTTGACTTGGCTATTTCATGCATTTATGTTACATATTTTATTAAACTTTTACTGAAAACGTTGGTAAGACTTGATGCCTTGTTAGACCGTTGGCAAGTCCAGGATAGGATGTTCCAGGCATAGTGCTCGGTTGTTCTCGTCGAGGTAAAAATTTAATTAAATATTAAACATGGCTGCATTTCTTAGACAATTAAAAATATGATCTAATTCAAAACAAGAAAATGTAGTACAAAGTCATGAATATCATATGCCTATAAATAATTCAGATTGGACTATTCCAGAAGAAAAAATAGAACACATTTATAGAATTGGCCCTTTAGATTTTAAAACAGCTTCATCAGTTAAAACTCATGAAAAAACAATATCTATTCAAGAAGAATATCAGACTATTCAATTACTAAATCATAATACAATTCAAAAATATTTAAGCAAAGGATATAGCTACATTCATATAGGTTTAATACAAATTGCTGTAAAACCTTTATTCCATTTAGGAGTAGATGCTCCAATATACCTAGCTTTAAGAGATACTAGACTCAAACGGTATAAAACTTCGTTACTCTCAATGATTCAAACTAATGTTTGTAATGGACCAATATACTTTAACTGTGCTCCAAATTTTTCAATAGATTTAACAGATTCCCATATTCTGAATTCTGTTATATTAGGTATTCACATGCAAGGAAATGAATTTGAAAAACATACAAAGAATTTTGCAATAATATACAGAATATATTATAGACCTCTATCTTCACATTTAAATCCAAAATTTATAATGACTCCAACTCTTAAGGAAGAAACAACTTTATTACAAGTAGATGCAGATAAACCTACAACATATACACCAAAAAGATTAAAATGGAACGAAATAACTATACCAAGTGAATTTGAAATTAAAAATCCACAAATAGCCAGAAATATAGAACAAACCACTGCAGAAGATATAATAGAAAAGGCAGATGGTAGTACACTTATAAGATTCACCTCATTAAGAGAAAGACCAGAATCCTCTTATTCATGTTTACCAGCTAGACGTTCAAATTATGAGTCAACTGAAGTTAATTTTCCTATGGAAAGTACTTCAAATTTTAAATATAAAACACCAATACCAGAAGTTATAAATAAATCAGAGTATTCCCCAACTCATTCACAAATGCAAGGAGAAATAAATGTTATAAATAAACCATATAAAATAAACCATAAATATTTACAAGAAGATTTTGAAGATGATGAAAATACAGAGAAAAGAATTTGGTTTTTCCAACTAGAATCAAAGTATAAAGAAAAATTAATTCTAGAATGGAAAAGTGAATTAGAAAAACAAAAGTTTGATTTTCCTTTCTTTACATGGTTAACATTTTATATGTCAAAATTAGGAATGAATGATATATATAATACACCTCAAATAAATGTTCAAACCAATTTATATAAAAAATGGAAATTAAAAGATGAACAAGTTATAACTTTAATACACCCTCCATTACAGGAAGTAAAAATTAATATGGGATAAGGAGAAATTATAGCCTCACCTTTTAAAAAGGGACGAGAAACTGAATCAAGTACAAATAATTCAATAAATCTAGAAGATCTTAAAAAAGTTTATCAACAAAATAATTATACAAATCAAATTTTTCATACAATTTCTCAACATATGGAAGTTTTAAATACTAAAATTGATACAATAAAGAAATCAGATTTAAAATTCCCAAATGATATTTCAACCCCTCATTTTCAACCAAGAAGCCTGACAAGAGAAAAAGAGCAAGACTTAGTACAAAATATTAATAGTCAAAAAATAAATACTACAGATAATTTATTAAATAAAATATCTAATGCATTACAAAATCTAACTACAGATTCTAAACCTTCAACTCCAAAAATAAACACATTAGACCAAATAATAGAAGAAAATTCTACTGAAGAATTAGAAGATTTATCAGAAGAATCAATAAAATCAGAAGAAGAAAAAGATATGATTTTAACCATAAAAAACCAATTTGAAGAAACAAAAGGAAATCAAATAAATAGAATAAAAAGAAAAAATTATAATAAGAAAAATAATTGAAAAATGGTAAGTTCAAAAAATTATTATCCTAAACCAAGTCCTCCAGATATTCAATATGAAGAAAGATCAAAATTTAGAACTACTAAATATGATGGAGATTCAATATATGAATGGAATATAGATGGCAAAGCAGAATATGAAGTATTAAATAATTTGCAAGAAATGGGAGTGGCTAGACTAGCTTATAAGATTAAAAATATTCAAGAAAGAAATATTGCAACATTATTAGTCTCAAGATTTACTGGACAATTAAAAAATTGGTGGGATAATGCCTTAACATTACAAGACAAATTATCAATATTAGATCATACACAAGAAATAGAAGATGATCAAGGAAATATTCAAATACAGTCAGATGCTGCAGAATTTCTAATTGTAACAATAGTCATGTATTTTATAGGAAATCCAAAAGAAGAATTAAATTCTAATAAAACGTTTTTAACAAATCTAAGATGTCCAACATTATCAGACTTTAGATGGTATAAAGATATGTTTTTAACAAATGTATTAAGAGCCCTCAGGGGCTTGGTCTGGTGGTTGAGGTTGTTGAAGATGGAGCCTCAGGTCCCTGGTTCGAACCTTGCTGCCAGCAAGTTGCTGAGGGTGGTGAATAGTCTGCGGGGTCCACTCCCTGCGGGACACACCTAAAAAAAAAAATGTATTAAGAAGATCAGATTGTAATGCTTCATTCTGGAAAGAAAGATTAATAACCGGATTACCAAGTTTATTTTCACAAAGAATAATGGATAATTTACAAAAAGAAATGGGAACAGATGTCATTTCATTCGAAAATATTACTTTCGGACAATTATTTGTTTTTGTGAAAAAAGAAGGATTAATGTTATGTTCAGAATTAAGATTACAAATAAAATATGGATCAAAAACAAAAGAAGTATGATCATTCTGTGATGCATTTGGAATTAAAAGAATTAAGTCACCATCAGCATAAAAAAAGAAAGTTAAAAAATATTCTAAGAAAATAAGATATAAAAACCCAAAGGAAAATGAACCAACTAAAAAGAGAAAATTTATTAAGAGAAGGCAAATAAAATTCAAATACAGATGAAATGAAGACCAAATGAAGATCAGAGCCTCTATAAATAGCAGACAATTCCAGAAGAGAGGCATCGCGAAAAATATCAAAAGTACTCATAGACTTGTCTTAGTTTTCTTATCACTTCCAACCACTCTAAACAACCCTTGTACTCAAAAGTCTTTGTTTTAGATTTCAACATTGCAATAAAGTCTTCAAGGTTGAATTTCCTTTCAAGCTTCCGTTAGTCACTCAATAATCAAAAGTAAGTCCAACTACTTATGTTTATTACATTTCAATACCTGGGTTAGAAGTGGTATCAGAGCCACACCCCTGTTTAAAGTGCATACGCATATTTAAACTTTGCATTTACATTTACTTTATTTGAATTATATTTCTATTTTGACTTGGCTATTTCATGCATTTATGTTACATATTTTATTAAACTTTTACTGAAAACGTTGGTAAGACTTGATGCCTTGTTAGACCGTTGGTAAGTCCAGGATAGGATGTTCCAGGCATAGTGCTCGGTTGTTCCCGTCTAGGTAAAAATTTAATTAAATATTAAACATGGCTGCATTTCTTAGACAATTAAAAATAGGATCTAATTCAAAGCAAGAAAATGTAGTACAAAGTCATGAATATCATATGCCTATAAATAATTCAGATTGGACTATTCCAGAAGAAAAAATAGAACACATTTATAGAATTGGCCCTTTAGATTTTAAAACAGCTTTATCAGTTAAAACTCATGAAGAAATAATATCTATTCAAGAAGAATATCAGACTATTCAATTACTAAATCATAATACAATTCAAAAATATTTAAGCAAAGGATATAGATACATTCATATAGGTTTAATATAAATTGCTGTAAAACCTTTATTCCATTTAGGAGTAGATGCTCCAATATACCTAACTTTAAGAGATACTAGACTCAAACGGTATAAAACTTCGTTACTCTCAATGATTCAAACTAATGTTTGTAATGGACCAATATACTTTAACTGTGCTCCAAATTTTTCAATAGATTTAACAGATCCCCATATTCTGAATTCTGTTATATTAGATATTCATATGCAAGGAAATGAATTTGAAAAACATACAAAGAATTTTGCAATAATATACAGAATATATTATAGACCTCTATCTTCACATTTAAATCCAAAATTTATAATGACTCCAACTCTTAAGGAAGAAACAACTTTATTACAAGTAGATGCAGATAAACCTACAACATATACACCAAAAAGATTAAAATGGAACGAAATAACTATACTAAGTGAATTTGAAATTAAAAATCCACAAATAGCCAGAAATATAGAACAAACCACTGCAGAAGATATAATAGAAAAGGCAGATGGTAGTACACTTACAAGATTCACCTCATTAAGAGAAAGACCAGAATCCTCTTATTCATGGTTACCAGTTAGACGTTCAAATTATGAGTCAACTGAAGTTAATTTTCCTATGGAAAGTACTTCAAATTTTAAATATAAAACACCAATACCAAAAGTTATAAATAAATCAGAGTATTCCCCAACTCATTCACAAATGCAAGGAGAAATAAATGTTATAAATAAACCATATAAGATAAATCATAAATATTTATAAGAAGATTTTGAAGATGATGAAAATACAGAGAAAAGAATTTGATTTTTTCAATTAGAATCAAAGTATAAAGAAAAATTAATTCTAGAATGGAAAAGTGAATTAGAAAAACAAAAGTTTGATTTTCCTTTCTTTACATGGTTAACATTTTATATGTCAAAATTAGGAATGAATGATATATATAATACACCTCAAATAAATGTTCAAACCAATTTATATAAAAAATGGAAATTAAAAGATGAACAAGTTATAACTTCAATACACCCTCCATTACAGGAAATAAAAATTAATATGGGACAAGGAGAAATTATAGCCTCACATTTTAAAAAGGGACGAGAAGCTGAATCAAGTACAAATAATTCAATAAATCTAGAAGATCTTAAAAAAGTTTATCAACAAAATAATTATACAAATCAAATTCTTCATACAATTTCTCAACATATGGAAGTTTTAAATACTAAAATTGATACAATAAAGAAATCAGATTTAAAATTCCCAAATGATATTTCAGCCCCTCATTTTCAACCAAGAAGCCTGACAAGAGAAAAAGAGCAAGACTTAGTACAAAATATTAATAGTCAAAAAATAAATACTACAGATAATTTATTAAATAAAATATCTAATGCATTACAAAATCTAACTACAGATTCTAAACCTTCAACTCCAAAAATAAACACATTAGACCAAATAATAGAAGAAAATTCTACTGAAGAATTAGAAGATTTATCAGAAGAATCAATAAAATCAGAAGAAGAAGAAGATATGATTTTACCCATAGAAACTAATTTGATGAAACAAAAGGAAATCAAATAAATAGAATAAAAAAGAAAAAATTATAATAACAAAAATAATTGGAAAATGGTAAGTTCAAAAAATTATTATCCTAGACCAAGTCCTCCAGATATTCAATATGAAGAAATATCAAAATTTAGAACTACTAAATATGATGGAGATTCAATATATGAATGGAATATAGATGGCAAAGCAGAATATGAAGTATTAAATAATTTGCAAGAAATAGGAATGGCTAGACTAGCTTATAAGATTAAAAATATTCAAGAAAGAAATATTGCAACATTATTAGTCTCAAGATTTACTGGACAATTAAAAAATTGGTGGGATAATGCCTTAACATTACAAGACAAATTATCAATATTAGATCATACACAAGAAATAGAAGATGATCAAGGAAATATTCAAATACAGTCAGATGCTGCAGAATTTCTAATTGTAACAATAGTCATGTATTTTATAGGAAATCCAAAAGAAGAATTAAATTCTAATAAAACGTTTTTAACAAATCTAAAATGTCCAACATTATCAGATTTTAGATGGTATAAAGATATGTTTTTAACAAATGTATTAAGAAGACCAGATTGTAATGCTTCATTCTGGAAAGAAAGATTCATAACCGGATTACCAAGTTTATTTTCACAAAGAATAATGGATAATTTACAAAAAGAAATGGGAACAGATGTCATTTCATTCGAAAATATTACTTTCGGACAATTATTTGCTTTTGTGAAAAAAGAAGGATTAATGTTATGTTCAGAATTAAGATTACAAATAAAATATGGATCAAAAACAAAAGAAGTAAGATCATTCTGTGATGCATTTGGAATTAAAAGAATTAAGTCACCATCAGCATACAAAAAGAAAGTTAAAAAATATTCTAAGAAAATAAGATATAAAAACCCAAAGGAAAATGAACCAACTAAAAAGAAAAAATTTATTAAGAAAAAAATTGTTTGTTATAAATGTGGAAAGATAGGACATAAAGCAAACAAATGTAGATTAAAAGAAAAAATTACAGAAATTTGTTCAAACGAAGAAGAAATTAAAAATAAATTAATAAATTTATTAATAAATGAAAAAGAACAGAGTACAGAAGATGATTATTACAATGATATTTCTAGTTCAGATAGTGAAGAAAATTGTAATTGTATTCCAAAATATATTAATGTAATAACTAAAAAAGAAGATAAAGAATTCTTATTAGATATTATAGAAAAAATTGAAGATCCCATAGCTAAAAAAGAATATTTAGAAAGACTAAAAAGTTTAATTATTCAAGAAGATAAAATGCCAAAGATAATAGAACCTATTAGCATTTTGAAATTAATAGATAAATATCCAAATATAAATATAATGAAAAAAGAAACTACTAAAGACCTTCAATCAGAAATTAATAATCTTAAAATACAAGTAAAACAATTACAACAAGAAATAATAGAATTAAAATTAAAAGATTTAGAAATAGAATAAAAAATAACATTAATAGATAACAATCAGCCCTCAACCTCTAATTCAAAAACAGAAGAAATAATAATCTTAGAAAAACCAATAAAAGAAGATCAATATTTCAATACTATAGAAAGAATGATATTTCAAAAATGGTTTGCTTTAGTAACTATTACAGTAGAAGATTTCAAAGAAACATTTGTAGCTCTAATAGATAGTGGAGCTGATATAAGTTGTATTAAAGAAGGAATCATCCCCACTAAATATTGTGAAAGAACAAATGAAAAACTAATGGCAGCAAATGGAGAAGATTTAAAAGTAAAATATAAATTTACAAAAGGATCAATATGTAATAATGAATATTGTATCAAACATAATTTTATAATTGTAAATAATATAAACCATGATGTAATATTAGGAACACCCTTTTTAATTCAAATATATCCATTTTTAGTAAGTAATGAAGGAATTTCAGTAAATATAATGAGAAAAATTATTACCTTTAAATTCTTAACTCCAATAAGACAAAGGGAATTACAAACATTGCAAACATCTTCAATATATAAAACAATAAATACTATTACTAGAGTACAACAGCAAATAAGCTATATTAAAGAGGAAAAATCTTATTTAAAAATTGAAAAACAATTAAATGATATTAAAATACAAAAAAGAATATTAGAACTAGAAGAATTATTTCAAAAAAAAATTTGTGTAGATATTCCTAATGCTTTTTGGGATAGAAAACAACATATGATAGAATTACCTTATGAAAAAGATTTTAATGAAAAAAACATTCCAACAAAAGCTAGACCAATACAAATGAATTCTGAGTTATTAGAATTTTGTAAGAAGGAAATAAAAATACTAATAGATAAAGGATTAATAACACCCTCAAAATCACCTTGGAGTTGTGCGGCATTCTATGTAATGAATCAAGCTGAAAAAGAAAGAGGAGTTCCAAGATTAGTAATAAATTATAAACCTTTAAATAAAGTATTGCAATGGATCAGATATCCTATTCCTAATAAAAAGAATTTACTCAATAGATTATTTAATGCCAAGATATTTTCAAAGTTTGATATGAAATCCGGATATTGGCAAATAATAATAAATCCAAAAGATAGATATAAAACAGCATTTACAACACCTTTTGGACATTATGAATGGAAAGTTATGCCATTTGGATTAAAAAATGCACCATCAGAATTTCAAAATATAATGAATGATATTTTCAATCCTTATAGTTCATTCAGTATATTATACATAGATGATGTATTAATATTTTCAGAATCAATAGAACAACATTTCAAACATTTAAGTATATTTTTAAAAGTAGTTAAGAAAAATGGATTAGTTGTTTCTGCTCCAAAAATGAAATTATTTCAAACTAAAATAAGATTTTTAGGACATAATATATATCAAGGAACAATAAAACCAATTAATAGAGCTTTAGAATTTGCTACTAAATTTTCAGATGAAATAAAAGATAAAAATCAATTACAAAGATTTTTAGGATGTCTAAATTATATAGCAGATTTCTTTTCTAAATTAAGACAAGAATGTTCTATATTATTTTATAGATTAAAGAAAAATCCAAAACCTTGGACAGAGGAACATACTCAAAAAATAAAATATTTAAAAGAAAAAATTGAATCATTACCATGTCTATGTTTACCTCATCCTAAAGCATTCATGATAGTTGAAACAGACGCATCAGAATTAGGATATGGAGGTATATTAAAACAAAAGGTAGATAATTCAAAAGAAGAATTAGTTAGATTTCATTCAGGAACATGGTCTGATCCTCAAAAGAATTATTCAACTATTAAAAAAGAAATTTTATCCATAGTTTTATGCATATCAAAATTCCAAGATGATTTATATAATAAAAAATTTTTGATTAGAATAGACTGCAAATCAGCAAAAGAAATTTTACAAAAAGATGTTCAAAATATAGTTTCAAAACAAATATTTGCTAGATGGCAAGCAATTCTTTCAGTTTTCGGTTTTGATATAGAATTCATCAAAGGAGAGAATAATTCTCTTCCTGACTTCTTGACAAGAGAATTTCTATAGGGAAATGGAACGTGAAACTCACAAAGAATACGTTCGAAGATTACGAAATGAAAGAGATAACCCCATTCTTCAAAAAAGAGATATAAATATTTCCCATAGACCATTTACCTATTATATCAAAAATCCCGACAAAACTATTCAACCTATTCTTTATTCTCAAATTCGAAACCATGATACAGTTCATATCAGACATAGTTTCTGGGCTGCAACCACTCCCAAAGAACAAGCCTTTCTTCTAAAAAGGCAGATTAATTCAAATATTATTTTCAAAAATGTCCTAGAAAAAGCCAATCATCCTCCAGAAGATATTCAGCCCATTATAAACCGAATTCGACAGCTTAAAGAAACCCTTAACAGAATTATTTGTTAATTTTGCAGGATTATGGATTCAAAAGCAGGTAATTCCAGGCCCAAGACTCCTCAAGATTATGAGATGAGTCTAACCCCTGTAAACCAAAATAGATTCCAAATACTTCAAGACTTTCCAGCTTTGACATATAGTCAAGCTGCTAGCACTCCAACTTTTCCTCCAATAAGATTTATTCAACAAACTCCAAAATCTCCAGAAAAAACCACAGAAAATATTTATTTCACAAAACCATTCACTCAACATATTACCCTGACCAGATTTCAAGGAACACCTTTATACTCTACTCTCAACCAAACTGTTCAAAGAATCTTTCCTCTAAAATGTTATTGGCAACCAGATGAACCTTCCAAAAATCTAGATTATTATGAATTAATTCTTACAGATACTCAATCTGTAGAAATATTCCCTATTTCAGATAAAAAGAATCCAAACATTATAAGTCACTCAAGAATCAAAAGTAAGTCCAACTACTTATGTTTATTACATTTCAATACCTGGGTTAGAAGTATCATCCATCGGAGAAAACTATACTCAGAGTCCTTAATTCTAGCTATAAAACTAGAGCTCCTCTTTTTATGATGACGTGGCGTAGATATTCAAGTAAATGAACTAGTTCTCATCTACTGTAAGTATATAGGTTCTTATTTGAGTAAAAGGTAAATTAGGGTTGTTAAATTACTAAGGGAGAATTGTAATTTTGGTCCCCAATCTATAGTGTATGCATGGAATTATCCCCAATCTATTTTAAAAATCAATTTTGATCCCCCAATCTATTCAATTTTGCGCTAAAGTACAATTGACGGAATCTCTTCAATTTCAATCGGAACTAAGTCACGTGAGATCACGTGTCAGCACCTAAAACCCCTTTTTCAATTTTTTATTTCTAAAACACGTTTTTTCTGGTAGCTTGACTTTTGGCGTGGACACTCCTGTCCCTTCAACCAAATCAATTTCCTCCTCGTCAATTCTTTTCCAATCAAAACTCTGAATTAGAGATCTCAAGGCCAAACCCACCACCCGCTGTGCTAGGCCAGAATCAGGGCAAGATCTCCTTCCCTTCCTAAATGGAATCAGCTTTGATGGCTGAACCTGCAAGCCTTCGAATCTCTCTGGCTTGAAGCTTGTTGGATCATCCCATACGTTTGGGTCCCTGTGAACTGCCCATGCATTAACTAGCAAAATTGTGCCTTCGCGGAATATTGTATCCCCCAATTTTATAGTCATCGGACGACTCATGTGGCACTAGCATTGGTGCTGCTGGTACAACTGAAGTGTTTCTAAAATAATGTTATAAAGATAAGGAAGATTGGATAGATCATGTTCGTCGACCAATCGATCAGTCCCTACTTGAGCATCCAATTCAGCTCGAGCTTTCTCTAGCACCTCGGGATGGTTGAGCAAAAGAGACAAGGCCCATTCTATAGTCACCGATAAAGTGTTTGTTCCAACCGTAAGCATGACCTACCAATTTTAATTGAATGCTCATTCCAGTTCAACGGTGAAGAATGGCTAATAGGAAAAGAATATACTTACCAGTGTAATCCCTTTGATGATTTGGTCCGTATAATCCCATTGATTTCCAATTATTATCATCTACTCTTCTCTCTCAGTTGCTTGCTTGCTTGCTTATGAAGTAGTACTGCTGCTGCTCCTATTGTTTGTGCAGGAGAGTTGAATTGGGTTCGTCTCTAGCGTTGATTGCAGATTATCTCCATTGCTAATGGAGGCAAGAACGAGACTTGGACTTGGAGGCCAAGCTGAGCTTCTTACTCGTGCTGTGGGTTTTGGGGATTTGAAGACAGCGGCCAACAAGAGGAGTAATTTGGATTGTGAGATTACCCTTTGCATGTCTTTGTTTAATAAGACAAAAGGCAAGAGAAAGCTGAAAATATTAAAAAACGTGTTTTAGAAATTAAAATTTTGAAAAAGAGGTTTTAGGTGCCGACACGTGATCTCACGTGACTTAGTTCCTATTGAAACTAAAGAGATTCCGTCAATTGTCCACTTTAGCGCAAAATTGAATAGATTGGGGACCAAAATTGATTTTTGAAATATATTGGGGATAATTTCGCACATACACTATAGATTGGGGACCAAAATTACAATTCTCCCAATTACTAAAACCAATGGCTTACTTTATTATCGAAACAAATATGAATTCGAATGATTAAACTAATTACAACTTATACTAGAAGCAATAAGAAAGTAAATTGCAAAGGATGAAATGATTAGGAGTAGAATCCTAGGGTTTTTGACTCCCTCATTTGCAATAGATTATGAGTGTATATTAGTTGATTACGCTCGTGACTTATGTCTTGCCAAGAATGTAATTTCCTAAAGTATTTGGACTTCGCTTCTGCCAATGAAATAAATATACCTACACCTAATCTTCACTTACTTTCATGGGTGAATAACTCGATGCAGGTTTAATAGAGGAGTGAAATCACTTGAGTTAACCACCTAAATGTATCTTTACTTTTGTAAGTATATACTATTTAAGATTCATGAATTCCTATCTTGTATTGTTAAATAACTTTCATTTCTCAAATAATAGATTGAATAGTTTGCAATTAATGATCAAAAAACTATAAAAATAAAATAAGGAATACATGAACTAGCAAGTACATAACAGAGTAATAATCAAGCTACATCGATCCATAGTCATAACACAAATAAGTTCATCTCAACCTTGCGATACAAATAACTTAGCTACTCACAGTAGATATGAAATGAAAGTACAAGTTATTCTTGCAACAAATCATGAATAAAAACAAGGGTAAAAAACAAAAAAAACCCCTGTGGTAAGTCTAATACACAGAAAAGCCTCCTGTGGTTTCAAAATATACAATACGACACCTCATACTTTGAATTAAATTGTAAAGGTGACGGAATCCGTTAAACTTAACAGAAATGACTTATTGGAACCTAAAAAAAAATTTATACCTAATTTTTATCAAATATACCTATTCTATCCCTTAACCCTCAATTCTCTCTATTTAAAGAATAAAACAAATGATTTTTTTGAGCTGCCTTTTGCTTAATTATATCAGAGCATTTTAGTCTTTTTGTCCATTTCCGTTAAGTTTAACGGATTCCGTCATCTTTATAATTTAGTTCAAAGCATGAGGGGTCGTGTTATATAATTTGAAACCATGGGAGGCTTTTCTGTGTATTAGATTTACGACAGGGGGTTTTTTTATTTTTTACCCTAAAAACAATTAAATGAAAGATGGAAGGATGAAGAATTTCTTATTCTAATAGTGGATAAAAAGCTCCCCAAACTCCTCTTGCAATCTTGTCTTCAAACACAGAAGTTATAAGAATTGTTCACCATTAAGCAACTATAAAATTTGTGGTCGAAACCAGAACAACAAAAGAGTTAAGGAAATCAAAATTTTTGTTTTGGTAAAAGAGATCATTTTTCCCGTTTTTTCTCTTCGCTGATACTACAGAACGCTGGCCATGGACCAATGCCCCTATTCTTGTAAAACATAGCATGTAGACAGGAGCTCATGTTCATTTTCCCTTTATATTTTTTCATTGTGGCATTTTTATAAATAGTTTCAATGTGTAGAATATACCATCTATCCCTAGTTATTTAGCATATAACTTAATCCAATTTTATTCCGTTTTACAACAAATTTAAGAGAAAAGCATTTCCGATGCAACAACCAGCGAGTTATGGAGGGTAGTTTTGTTTATTTATTTTAGGGATAATTTCAGAAACCTCCCTTGAGGTTTTATGAAATATCACCTAGCTCTCTTGAACTTTTCAAAATCTCACTTAACACCCTTGAAGTGATAGTAGGGCCATATGCTAATATCAAAGGTGATGAATTGTCAATAATACCCTCATATTTAAATTTTCTAAACTTGTTTTTCTTTCTCTAAATATCAATGAAATATAGGATTTAATCAATGAAATATTCAGCGCATTTGGAGAAAAATAGCTGTAGGTTCTTTTTTTTCCCTTTTTTTGTGTTTCACAACTTTATTTATTTATTTATTTGTTCCTATTCATGTAGAGTGCAAGAGAAATAAAGTAACTAAAACTCCGAACTGCAGTTTTTCAAATTCTGAGTTTTTTATAATAAAATTTTCATATTTCATGCCCATAAAAAAAGTCCGTCTATTTTGAGTAAATTCTCTGTATGATATTGAAGTTGAATTTCATCTATTGCTGAGTTTTTTTGGCTCAAATGCATGATTTTTACATGCTAATTGCCTTCAATGCTATGGAGGGTTTTATTTATAGAAATGGTTTAAAAAATATATGCTTTTACTGTCTCTCTCTACTATAGAAATGACTATTGGCTGTAACATAAAATCTTATCAATTTTCATCCCCTCACTTTTAAGATGGTTCCAATTTAGTACTTTTTTTTCTTGGTTTATAAAATGTTCATTTTTCTATAGCCTAAGGGTAGTAAAGGCACTAAAATAATCTCTCTCCTCAAACATGAATTTTTTAATATTACTTTTGGTTAGAAGGGTGACAATGTTACTAAAAAGTCAATTCAAGGGGTGCTAAGTGAGATTTTGAAAACATCAAGGAAGCTAAGTGATATTTCATGAAACCTCAAGGGAGGTTTCCAAAATTATCCCTTCATTTTATGTAATTTTCATTTTTGAAGAAATGACAAGCTTCTATTTCTAGACAAAAGCCCGCTTTGCTTCTCTTGAAAAAGCTTTTGGAATCATATTCACCTGTGTTGATGTCTTCTGTCAACAAAAAAATGCAATAGTTTCATTTGATAGATTTGTAATTATGAGAACCTTCCTTCGTTTGCTTAGATGTAAGATGATCTTAGGATTCCAGTTTGTAAAGAGTCCAACTAACCAAGGAGGCTTTCTAGAGATAAGAAGAAGCAAGCTGCTTATAGAGACAGCATTTTAGTTCTTGAAACTAAAATTTTGTGGTGTTCAAGTTGGTGTTAGGGGCTTATAGCGGTAGGATGACGATGATAGTTAGGACTTCTTTTGCCAATTTTTTCCTAATTTAGTAGATAATTTCATTTTTCTTCCTAAAAAGGCACTAATTGTTCTTTTGTTTATAAATAGAGTTTAGCTTGTAGTTAATATAGTACCCTAGATTGGTTAATGTTTTTTGTGCTAAAAAAAATTTCAAGCTGTAGTGCCTAGAGATATAATTGAGTTGAGTCTAGTGCAAGTATCACTATACTCGATAGTAGAGAGGTACTGCTCGAACTCAAACGAGCAGTAGAAAGTGTTCAAAATTAAACTCGAAAAATGGTTCAAAACTCGAAATTGACTCAATTATACTCGATTTTCTTGTGAGTATAATCGAGTTTGAGTACTTGACTTGACTAAAAGAGTAATTTTAGTAATTTATACAACTCTCAAGCCTAAAAAAATAATTTGTAATAACTAAATATATAATTTTTAATTAATTGCTTTGTGCTCGGTAATAAGTCAATGAACCACCGAACTTGAAAAACCAATACTCGAACTCAGTTTGAATAATTATCGAGCTACTCACGTGTAATGGTTGGGAATTGGTTGATTCGGCTAAGGACAGAAATATAGAAAGAGATAGAGAGAAAAGGTTGAGAGAAAAAAGAGGGAGCAGAATGAGTGGAAAGAAGCGGGAAAGTTGTTTTCTTCAATGATCACAATTTGCATGCCTCTTTACATTAGTATTGGCCTATTAATAGAAAGCTTCCCCCCACTAACTAATCAGTAACCAATTTTCTGCAAGTGGTAGCCGTTATAACAATTCCAGCAAGGTAATATTTGGCTAACAGAATTTGGCTAACTATTTTTGTGTTATTTTCTGCGGAGTCATTACATTTGCCCCCCCCTTTAAAACAATCCTAATCTCTAGGATTGAAGTCAGGAAATTGACTCTTGATGACTGACAGGTCTTCCCACATTGCATCATCATTTTGTAAGTCCTTCCATTGTACCAAAATCTGCTCCACCTTGTGTCCACCCCTATCAATCCATCTACGATCCAGTATAGAGGAAGGGATGATAGAAAAAGAGCCTTCCTCACTTGGCTGGGGTAGTATTGTGCTAGCTGCAGCACCTTTTGTGGAGGGTTTTAAAAGCGAAACATGAAATACATGGTGAATAGTAGCTCCTGGTGGCAGCTTGAGTTATAGGCTACTGCTCCAACCTTTTTTTCAATCTGATATGGTCCTTAATACTTCGCTGCTAGCTTCAAATTTTTTCGAACAGCCACAGTGGTCTGTCTATAAGGCT